AGGAAATGGCTACGGGAGTGTGGAGGAAAATGTGTTTTCTGCATGAATGACAAAGTTCTAAGGATGACATAGGAGGAGGAGGTGAAGAGAAAGACTGTGAACAAAAGCTAAATTCTTTGAGATGGGAGGGAGCATATTACACATTGACGATGATGAGCGGGGAAGAAGGAGGGATGAAGAAAGAGAAGAGCGTGACGTGGTTTGAAAGAAGCTATGGGACACCAAGCCGTCTATTCCTCCTTAGGCCTGAGCACTTGAGATGTGAGAGAACAACTGTCTCCACGTGGAAGGCTGCAAGGGCAGCTAGGACGGTGGAGCTGAGGAAGCTCTCAGTTAAGGCAGGGAGCCACTCAGACAGGAGGTTGAGGCTGTAGGGCGGTTTGCTGATCCGAGTAAGCCATTCTGGGGGCATTTTGGAGATCACAGTGAAGGATGTGGGAGTTAGGGAAGGGGTGAGCAGGGCCTCAGTCACCTTCTAGCCTGCGTACTGTTCACACAGAATGCAATCTGAACAGTACTTCCCGAGTTTTGCGACATTAGGGCCCTGGAGGTAGTCATTGGAGCAATATGAGGATGGGCATTTTGGGGAAAGCCAGCGTGGGTGGACTAGTGGTTAAGATTTGGTGCTATCACTGCCACAGCCTGGGTTTGTCTCCCGGTCAGGGAACCACACCACCTGTCTGTGAGTTGTCATACTGCGGTGGCTGCGTGTTGCTGTGATGCTGAAAGCTATGCCACTGGCATTTCAAATACCAGCAGAGTCACCCATAGTGGACAAGTTTCAGTGGAGCTTCCAGACTAAGACTAGGGAGAAGGACCACCACTTGAAAAAATTGGCCATGGAAACCTTGTGAATAGCAGGGAGCATTGTCTGATATAGCACCGGAAGATGGGAGGATGGCGCAAAAAGACCTGGCAGGGTTCTGCTCTGCTGTCCACAGGGTCGCTAGGAGTCAGAATCGACTGGGTGGCACTAACAACAAATTTCAGGGAAGCTTGACCCAAATAGAGATAAACAGAGGTAAACAGAGATGTGAGACATAATAGAACTATTTCTTACAGTCTTTTCTTAAAGGAGGGTTGGACTTTGATTCTAACTTGAAGGTATCAGTATCTTGTTTGTTGAAAACGCAGCGTTGGGGCAAGTGTTCACAAGTGTTCACAATGGCTGCCCAAGAGGTACTAAATCCTGAGACTCTTTCTAACTGTTTCTCTAGTTATCCTCTCTTCCCTCTCCCCACTGTCACTGCCTTAGTTGAGGATCTCTCTTTCCATCTTTCCACCGCCCCCCCATCCCCCGGGGCTTTTGCAGAAACCAGCTGCATTACTAGCCACGTCCACACCCCCTGAGACCTTTGTTCCCCACCAGTCAGTTGACATGGCATTTTCTACCCATGCTGTGCTTTCTCACCCCCACGTGCCTTTGCACTTGCTCTCTTCTCCCGCATTGTCCTTTCTCTCCTTGTTTGCCAAGTAACAACACATCTTATTCATGTTTCAAGACCCATTTCGAGGACCATAGCTTCATGTCTTTCCTGACCATTCCCACTGTGCTCTCACAAACATTACTATTCCTCATTTGTGACTCTGCTGCTTTGCAGAACTGATTTATATTTGTCTCCCTGGTTATGCTGTAAATTCCGTGGGCCAAGAGTTATTTCTTTTGCATGTTTCTAACCATAGTGCTTCATACATAGTAAGTTCTCCCTAAGAGTTTGTTAATGGATGATGTAAAGCATCAAATATCCCATCCACCTAATGTGTTTTTCACCAAAGGGTATCTCTCAATATTTTTTCTTTTTACTGTCTCATTAACATCAAAGGAAGATGGCCCCCCAATTCCCACTCATGTTCAATCACACAGCCCTTACTCCCAGCTCTTTTATGCCTACGTCAGCAGTTCTTTCACTTCCCTATTTATCTCCTCTCTCTCGCCTTTTCAACTGGCTTTTTTCCTCTGCTGTCAAGTATTTTCAGGTTTTAATTATTCATCCACAGTATCACCACCTTAACTCTGCTGTTTCTTGCAGATACTTCATTATTTCTGCCGGATCTTCTCCCCAGTGTGAAGCATCTCTTTATTTTTCTACTTGTCCAGCAGGTTGCACAGACACAGACATGCACAAAATAAAATAAAATCCTTAAGGAAGAAAGGAAATATTTTCCTAATATTCCATAATTTTGAAAGACCGCTGCACAAAGGCCAAGCCAAATTTTAGAAATTACTACTTGTTTTGGCCCACATGACACTTTAGACAAAGGTCATCTTCCTTCTCTGGCTGTGACTGTCTTTGTTGGTGGTGTCTTTGTTCCTCCAGTCACATTATATCAAGTCCAGAAGGACAGAGACAGTTCTCAATTTTTAAATGATAGACACTTTGAGAACCTGATGAAAGGTATACAGACCCTCACCCCAGAGAAACGCACATTGCCTTTTCTCGCTTAGTTTCAGAGGTTCACAGATCCCCTGAGGTCCAACCATGGACCCAGTTTTAGAAGCCCATCTTAAAATAGCAGTTATTAGAGATGGTTTAAAGGTTTCCTTTTTTCTCATCTTTATTTTCTAATTTTCCCCAAATGAAATGGATTATTTGTGTTAAAATATATAAATGTTTTCTTAAAAACTACCCCATTCTATATGGTAAATTTAAAAGATCTTGTACAATAAATTCATTATGTAGTGAACTTGTCGAAGACTGACAGACTTTGAATTAGAAATGGCTGTCATGTAAGGCACTCAGTTTTCCCATCTGTAAAATGGAGTAATTAATATTAATCAGTCATTATGTTGTATAGATTAATACCCGCAAAATCCTAATAACTATGACTTCTCTCTGTTGCCTCTGGTAGTCTCTTGATTTCAGTCGTAGTTTTCCTCCCTAGTCTTGAAGCAGATATAATGCCCCAGCTGTTTCTTCAGTTATTCTGTTTTCTGTGAAGGAACACCTGCTTAGAATGTACCTAAGGAGTTATTTCTTTGTTTTTTGATAATTAAAGCACTGCTGTGGTGATGGGTGACATCTGGATTCACTTTTAAAGACTTTGCTGTATTTTCTGGCTCCTGGGAGATTCATGAACTCTAATGCATTCGAGGGAAATGTGGTGATGTGCTTCATTTTGCAACAGCAATTTTACTCTGGCTTTGTTATTTCCCCACTGCAATGAATGAGAGCTGCCACTCTGTTAGTGCTGCTGAGAGATTAAGGGAACTGAATTGAGCTCCAGAAATTTAATACACCATATAATGCCTGATTTATTTTGATTCTGGCTTTGACTTGAATTGATAAACTCACTTGGGATGGCTCTGCAGAATCAATATCCAGGGATTAAATTTTTTTTTTATAAACTGGTTCTGAAATAATTTCTTTTGGGGAACACGAAAGTCCAAGTTCTCTTAACTATTTCCCATAGTAATAGAGAAAGAGAAATTTGGCAAAAGTATTCTAGTATTATATATAATTTCCTCAAAAGCTATATTCCTCAATCTCCACTCAATTATAGCTCACTAAGCTTCATAGGATTTGCTTTTCAGAATTATGTATCTTTGTTTGAGGTGATTATAACTACACTATTACTGCCTCTGCCTTGACATTCTTCTTGGCCTGTTGCTCACAGGTAACAATACTTCAAATGCAGAAATATGGATCAGTCAGGGCTCATAGTTGCAAGTAACAGAAGCTGATTCTGGCTGAGTGAGCAGAAATGTTATTACAAGGAGATGGGAGAACCCAGAGAATTGTTGGGAGGCTTGAGGAGCAGTTACGGGACTAAGCTTCTGGGAACAATGCTTACAACTACCCCACAGAACTGATCTGATGAGGAAGTCAAGGCCACGACTCACCATTGCCCCAACAAACACTGCAGGTGACTGCAGCCACTCCCACTGCCACCAAAGCCACTTCTGCACTAGGGACTCAACCGTGCAAGCACTGCCATCTCCAAACATCAGATGCCTTTATCAGCAAATTGGCTTCCAAGAAGAATCTTGCCTTCCTCAAGCTTCTAACTTCCAAATCAAAGTCCCATGCAGGTGTGCTGAATGTGGAAGCCTAGGTCACACGTGTGCGCTCCAGCTATGAGCCCGGAGATTTTGTTTTTAGAGTTTACTTTGGGGAAGCAGCACTTAACATTAAGATTGGAAATTCCCTAAACACGGCAAATATGTTCAAAACATCCCAAGCAGCCAGAAGATAAGAAAACGTTTACTACAGGAGAGAATTAATATTTGTTGAGAATATATGCTAAGTGCCAGGTGCTTTAAATACATTACATTATTTAATTCACAACAAAATAGATATTTTAACCCTATTTTAATTATGGGAAAATTGAGTCTCAGAGAAGTTGTTCCTAGTCCTAGATCATTTTGTTGGTAAAATGGAGAACATAGATTCATATCCAGTGTTTTTTCCTTCAGAATTCTTCCTTGTCTCACAAGGTAACTCTGATTTCCATGTCCCAAGTTCTAATTCATAAATAAGCAGAGGTGTACCAAGTAGTGGGGGAGGGGAGAGTGGAAGCTCCAGGAGCAGGCAACAAGGGAGCACTAGCTGCAAGAAAATTTAAAGACAATAATAAAACAGGCTCAAAATAGGTCTACTTCATTATTATTATCATCATCATGTGACAGCAATTCTAAAGAATGTCAGCAATAAAATATTCCTTCTTGCTGAGGTGAACTATTCCCCACTCCTTGGGACACCAGTACAGATAAGAAGCTCTCAACTTAGCTTTCAAATCTTTTTTAAGAGAAGCTTGTTTAGAACTCGTAATTGAGGAGCCATAAACAGTTTTATGTTCCTAAAATAGACCATAAAGTGGCCATTTAACACATGAATACCTAAGTACCTATCTTTTAACATTATTCCTAAGAAAAAACGAGTTCTAATTTTTGTTTTAGAAGTACATCTCTCCCAAGTCTGGCAGAGTGAGTGGGGGCTCCTTTATCTCTAGTAGCATCAGAGGCTCTGATAACAAGGCAGTTCTTTGGTAGTAGAGGCTTTCTTGGCAAGATAGTTGTTGGTGATAAGGAGGAAGGAGATGGCTTGCAGTAACATACACAGTGGAATAAGAAAGTATTTCTTTAAGCTGGCATGAGAAAGTTACTGTTTAGATGAATCCCCAGGTGTAGAGAATATGAGATCTAAAAGAATTACTTTACCCATCATCAAGTTTTATAAATTCCATCTCCTAAATCTCTCAAATATGTCCTCTCTTCTCCTTGGCCTATACAGATCCTAATATTATTTAACCTAGACTACTGTAACATCCTGCTGGCTGGTCTTTCTTCCTGTCATTAGGGTCTGCTAATTGCAATCTATTATCCACATAACTGTCAGAGTGGTCCATCTAAGCATGAGTGAGATCATGAAATTTCCTCACTTAAAAGTTTACAGTGACTTTCATGTCCTTCAGGATAACAAGGTAAACTCCTTTTCAAGGCTCAAAAATTTCTTTATTTCCCTACCTTTTTATCATTTGTCATTCTTTAATTCAGACACTGTAATAGAGCGAATCCAAACTACTTGCACTCCAAATGCCCAATGCTCTCTGAGGCCTTTCTGCTATTGCATATGCTGTTAATTCAGTAGCCTAACTCCTATTTGTTGTCCTCTGATAAGTCTTCTCTTCTTCCCAAACTCAAACTGTGTTAAGTACTCCATACTCTGTGCTCTGTCCCACAGTACTGGAGGTTTACTTTCATATTAGAAATTAAATTACAGAAAAGTAATTGCACTCTGGTCTGCCCTCTCCTACTAGACTATAAACTTTTTTAAGGCAGTGGTGATGTCTTTTATCTTTGCAACCCCAGCATTTAGTGCAGTTTTTGGTATAGATATTATGTACTCAATAAAATTTTTTAAATGAATGGCAGGTTCTACACAGTGTACAAGATGTCAAGAAGATGACAGTCTAGTAGTAAGGATGAGTCAAATTCATTTAACTAAAGCACAAGGCATAAGATGCGCCACAACTGAGGTTTAAATGAAATGCTTTGGTTATTTTAAGGAGAGAGCCTTCAGTTCCAGTTTTAGGGTGAGGTGGGGGTACAAAATTGAGAAGGGTCGAGGGAGAAGATGGCATTTGAGATGGACTCTGACAGAAGGAATTTCAATACTTGGAGATGCAGCAAATATAGGGAATAGGTTAAGCAACATACTGATATAGAAAAGCAGAGAATGTAATACAAGATCATAAAATAGCCCCACAGAGCACGGAAGAGAGTACTGGAAAAAAGCTGGAGAGGTAGGTTAGGCTTTAAATGCTGCCTAAGGAGTCAGTATTTAATCTAGAAGGCAACTATAGTGTAATTCAAGGCAGTAATTAGCAGAAGACAGACTATTAGAGCAACTGTAATAGTCCGAGTAAGGAGTAACAAGGTCATCTTTGGCAGGTAGTACCATGGAGACAGGCAGACAGCCCTGGGTCACTCTTTAGTGACATGATCTTGAACATATTACTTAAACTTCCAAACCTCAAGTTTCCTCATTTATTTCAAAAGACTGTTGTGATTAAATTTATGTAAAGAGATTAGCACAGTGCTTGGCATGTACCAAGTGCTTGAATTAATCAGTGATATTTCAGCAGCAATTGATAAAAATTCAACTCAAATCAGCATAAGCAAATAATAGAAATTATTAAAAGGCTACTGAGAAGATCAATGGAACAGAATAGAGAGCCCAGAAATAGAATCACATGAATACTATCAAATGATCTTTGACAAAGGATCAAAGGCAATACAATGGAGCAAAGACAGTTTTTTCAACAAATGGTGCTGGAACAACTGTACATACATATGCAAAAAAATAAATCTAGACACAGATCTTACACCCTCCACAAAAATTAACTCAAAATGTAAATGTAAAATGCAAAACTATTAAATTCCTAAAAGATAACATATGAGAAAATCTAAATGACTTTGTGTTTGGCGATGACTTTTTAGATACAACACCCAAAGCACAATCCATGAAAGAAAAAATCGCAAGTTGGTTCATTAAAAATTTCTCCTTTGTGAAAGACACTGTTAAGAGAATGAAAAGACAAGTCTGGGAGAAAATCTTTGCAAAACACATATCTGGTAAAGGATTGGTATCCAAAATGTATATAGAATTCTTAAAACTCAGCAATAAGAAAACAAACTCACAACCCAACTTAAAATTGGGCAAAAGATCTGAGCAGACACTTCACCAAAAAAAGTATACAGGTGGCAAACAAGCATATGAAAAGATACTCAACATCATATGTTATCAGAGAATTACAAAATAAAACAACGAGATACCACTACACATCTATTAGAATGGCTGAAATCTGACAAAAATCTGACACTGACAAAACTAAATACCAGTGAGGATGTGAAGCAACAGGAACTCTCATTCATTGCTGGTGGGAATGCAAAATGGTACAGCCACTTTGGAAGACAGTTTTGCAGTTTCTTACAAAACTAAACATACCCTTACCATACGATCCAGCAATTACACTCCTTGGTATTTACCTAAATGACTTGAAAACTTATGTCCACACAAAAACCTGCACACAAGTGTTTATAGTAGCTTTATTCATAATTGCCAAAACTTGGAAGCAACCAAGATGTCCTTCAACAGGTGAATGGATAAACAAAATGTGGGACATCAATACAATGAAATATTATTCAGCAATTTAAAAAAATGAGCTATTACACCACAAAAAGACAGGGAGGAAATAAATGCATATCGCTAAGTGAAAGAAGTCATTTTGAAAAGCCTACATACTATATAATTTCAACTATCTGACACTCTGGAAAGGGCAAAACTATGGAGACAGTAAAAAGATCAGAGATTGTTAGGGGTTCAGGGGGAGGGAGGGAAGGATAAATAGGCAGAGCACAGGAGATATTCAGGGCAGTGAAACTCTTCAGTCTGATACTGTAACGGTGGAGGTGGATAACGTGGCATTATACATGTCACAAAATCCATAAAATGTAAAACACAAAAAGCAAACCCTAATATAAACTGTGGACTTGAGTTAATAATGTAACAATATTGGCTCATCAATTGTAACAAATGTACCACACTAATGAAAGATGTAAATAATAGCCAAACTGGGATGGGGGATTAGGGGGAATATGAGAACTCTCTGTACTGTCCACTCAAATTTTCTGTAAACCTAAAACTGCTCTAAACATAAAGTTATTAATTTAAAGATTCACTAAGCAGTACATATACAATTCATGCACTTTAATAAAAAATGAAAAAGTTGTGCTTTAAAAAAGAAAAGGCTACTGAGGTAATTCCCAGAAACAAAGGCAGCCCAGGGCTTCAGGGATTTGATCTCTCTCTCGTTTTCTTTTGTTTTCATTCTCTGGTAAACAGGCAGGTTTTCTTCACATGTCAGGAATCATGACATTCCCCCTTAACCCCCCCGAAAAAGGCCTAGATTGATATTTGAGGCTGGTGGCAGTACGGGGAATCTGGAATACTAAGACAACTAGGAAATTATATTGAAACCTTGAAAAATGGTGACCCAAATTATGTGATAGCAAAACTGTTGCCTGCAGTGAGAAGATTAAAAATGAGCCTAATGAAATTTTTAAAATTAAACTTATTTTCAAATAATTGTAGATTCATGAGTAGTTGTGGAAATAACACAGATTCCCAGTGTACCTTTCGCTCAGGTTACCCTTATGGTAACATCTTGCAGAACTATAGCAATTTTCTTTGCTCTGAAGTCTACTTTATCTGATATTAATATTTCCACTACTGCTTTACATTGTTTAATGTTTGCAAGATATATCTTTTTCTATCCTTTTACTTTTTATCTGCCTATGTCATTATATTTGAAGTGAGTTGCTTGTAGACAGCGTATAGTTGGGATGTGGTTTTTAATCACCTCTGCCAATCTCTGTCTTTTTTTTTTGCCGGGAAAGATTCGCCCTGAGCTAACATCTGTTGCCAATCTTCCTCTGTCTTTTTCTTTTTCCTCCCCAAAGCCCCAGTACATAGTTGTATATTCTAGTTGTAGGTCCTTCTAGTTCTTCTATGTGAGTTGCTGCCACAGCATGGCTACTGACAGACGAGTGATGTGGTTCCACGCTGGGGAACGAAACCTGGGCTGCCGAAGCAGAGCGCACTGAACTTTAACCACTAGATCATCAGGGCTGGCTCCAAACTCTGTCTTTTAATTAGTGTACTTAGATCATTTACATTTAACATAATTATTTATATGTTTAGGGCTTCACTCTGCCATTTTAAATTTTGTTTTCTTTGTTCTATTCCTCCTGGCCTCCCCACACCTGTCTTCTTTTTCCTGCCTTCCTATGGGTTACTTGAGCATTTTTAGAATTCCACTTTCATTTATCTATAGTGTTTTTGAGTGTATCTCTTTGTATAACTTTAAGTGGTTTCTCTAGGTATTCCATTATATATCCATTACTTATCACAGTTTACTGGTATCACCATTTTACCACTTCAAGTGAAGTATAGAAACTTTACCTCCCTTTGCCCTTCCCCATTTATAATATAATTGTCTTAAATATTTCCTCTGTACAGTTATATATGTATATAGAAGAAAAATTATAGCATCAGACTGTTATAATTTTTGGTTCAACTGTCAAACATAATTTACAAAATTCAAGAGGAAAAGAAAGGCCTATTGTATTTACCCATATTTTTGCTTGCCGTGTTCTTTCTTCCTTCCTGATATTCCAAGCTTCCTTCTTTTATTGTTTCTTTTCTGTTTAGAGAATTTCCTTCAGCCATTCTTTTAGGATAACTCTGCTGGTGACAAATACTCTTAGTTTTCTTTCATCTGAAAATGACTTCATTTTCCCTTCATTCCTGAAAAGTATTTTCACGGGTATAGGATTGTGGGTTGACAGTTCTTTTCTTTCAGCGCTTGAAAAACATTGTGTTACTTCCTTCTGGCCTCCATGGTTTATGATGAGAAATTTGGTACCATTTGAATTGATTTTCCCCTGTGGGTAAGGTGTCAGTTTTCTCTGGATGCTTTCAAGATTTTTTCTTTGTCTTTGGTTTCCACAGGTTTAACTATGATGTGTAATGGCATAGATTCTGTTGGATTTATCCTGTTTGGGTTCATTCAGATTCTTGAATCTGTAGGTTATGTCTCTTGATAAACTTAGGAACTTCTTTCAGCCATTATTTCTTTAAGTACATTTTCAACCCTACTCTCTTCCTCCTCTCTTCCCACTCTAATGACACAAATATCAGATCTTTTATGGTAGTCTCACAAACCTCTAAGGCTCTGTTTGTTTATTTATTTTTTTGCAATCTAT